ACATGTGAGAGAAAATGTGCCCTTTGCCCATGTAAGACTTAGTTCACTTAATTCTTTTCAGATCCATTCATTTAACTGGAAATAAAATAATATCAATCTTCTCAATGAATAAGAATATTGTATATATAAACCATTGTATAAATAAACCATATTTTCTTAATCCATTCACACATTGTAAGACATCTAGGCCATATACTTTCCTGCAAGTTTCCATAACTTGTTTATGGTGAATATGAGTTTTCAAGTGTGTCTATGTTGACTTTTAATTTTTTGGAAAAATGCACAAGAGCGATATGACCCCTCACAGAATTTTTTTGGGGGGTCCGGTCGTGGGGCCTGAACTCTGGGCCTAGGCGCTGTCCCTCAGCTCTTCAACTCAAGGCTAGCGCTCTACCACTTAGGCCATGGCACCACTTCCAGCTTTTTTCTTTTTGCTTATGTGGTGCTGAGGAATCGAACCCAGAGCTCAGGCATGCAAGGCAAGTGCTCTACCACTGAGCCACCTTCCCAGCCCCCCTCACAGAATTATTCTATATTTACTTTTTAAAAAAAGGAATTTCCAAACAGTTTTTTATAGTAGTTGAATTAGTTTTTATTCCTATCAAGAATTCAGTAGGATTCCTTTTCTCTGGCAGCATTTATTAACCATTTGATAACCATTCTTACTGGGGTGAGATGGAATAGTATGTTGGTTTGACTGCATTTTCTTTATGGCCAGAGATGTTGAGCATTTCTTAACGTGTTTATTGGTCATTTTTACTTCTTCTGAGAAGTCTCTATTTATTAATTCTATTTATCAACTGGGTTATTAGTTTTCTGAGGGTTGACTTCCTAGAGCTCCATGTCTATTATAGATACAGACTTTTCTCAGATGTGCAGTGGGAAAAGATAATCTTCCATTTTGTGGGATGCCTTTTTAGCTTACTATATGCTTTGATGTGGAGGAACTTTTAATTTGATGCAATGTCATATGCTCATTCTCACTTATTTTCTGGCTTTTTGGAATTCTAATGAGAAAGTTGTTATCTATTTCAATAACTTCTAATGTTTCAAGGTTTCATACCTTACATTGAGATTTCGGGTCCATTTTTCAATTGATACAGGTACAAGGTGACAGGATTTTTCCCAGGATCACATTGGCTATTCAAAACATTGGTTCCACATGAATTTTTGAACTGTTTTTTCCTATCTCTTCAAAGAATAACCATGGTATTTTCAAGGATATTGAATTGAAATTTCACATTGCTGATGGCATTATGGCCATTTTAACAATATTCATCCTACAAATCTACGAACTTTGGAAGTTTTTCTGATGTGTTTTCAATTTCATTCCTCAAAGTCTTATTATTTTCATTATAGAGGTCTTTCACATTCTAGTTAGTTCTCCCCACCCCCAGCTTCTAGCTAGGTATTTTATTTTTATTGAAGCTATTGCAACCAGAATTGTTTTCCTGAAGAATGTAACAATGAAGCCTTAATCCAATAGGAGTCATGTCTTAATGGAAGAGAGCCACAGGATTGTTCACCCCCTCATGTGATGAGAGGACACATGGAGAAAGCAGCCATGATGTGAAAGAAGAGAACCCTCCACAGAGCTCAGTCTCCTGGGTCCTGACTCGATTTCCACTCCCCACAACTGCTACTGAATAAATTTTGGATTTTTAAGCTCCTCACTTTGTCATTTTGATATGGGAAACTGAGTTGAGAAAGACATAGAACATGTACAGGTAGAACAACATTTTATAAAATGTAATTGTTTAGAATAGAAAATAGGAGTAAACAGGTTGATTTTTTATAAAGTTCAGAGGAACAACCTTGGAAATAAAACAGTTCTGATAATTAAAACAGTTCTGATAATTATAAAAAGGTTGCTCATTTCTCCTTTATTTTCTCTACCAAGTAGGATTTATTTTTTACTTAAATTTTAATGTGCAGTTGATGAAGATAACTCATTTTAAAGCTAAATCAAACAATTATCATGCTTAAAGGGAAAGATTCAGAAAGTTTTCTTTGGTAGGTATTATAATCTGTATGATTTTGAGTAGATAGTTTTGTTTGACTGTGATCTGATATCATCCAGTTTATGACACATTTACTGATTATGTTCTCATGTTAAATCAAACATGTCTTACAAGTATTCCTTTATTTATATAGTTTTTGCTGGAGAGCTATAGAAATTTTCTATTCAGCCATATGCATTGTTTTGTTTACTTTGTAATATTTAAGAAGGGTTTTAATTTTAACAACTCTTAAAACCTGACTTATTGTCAAGTGGAAAATGAAGAAATGCTATACCTGTCTGATCTAGATACACACTGCTGGAGACTTGTCTAATTCAGATTCACTGAAGCATTGAGATTTAATGAACTTCCCACAGGGAGATGAATCTAACTCAGATAATAATTGTGAATTCTCAATGCTCTTTGTTTTCAGAGCAATTCTTTGCATGGGAGCAGGAATTTTAGGAAGGTGAACAGTTGGCAAGAGTGTGTTGGGAAGAAGCAGGCATTTCTGAGAGTAGAGGACTGGTGAGTGAGATTCAGAGGTTGGAAGCATCCTTACAATGCTGGCGTGGATCAGTGGATGGCCTGACTTACAGAGGTTAAACCAATGTTAAGGTTTTCACTGAAAACGTCCTAGTAGAGGAAGCAAATGGCTACAGGAAGTTATTAAAATTGTATCATTGAAGAGATGTTAAATAAAATTGGAGGATCTAAAGATAGACATGATCTGAGGATGAGAATACAGCAAAGATATCTCTTAAACTAGACATGTACCTAGTCACACATGAAAGCCCTGTGTGTCCCTGAGATAGGATTCATTAATTCTGTAATTGGATGCAAGTAGACTCATTTTCAGTGTGCTGATGCTTGGTACTGATGAAGTCTTTCTTAGATTATGTTAATCATTTGATTAGGTCTCAAATGTTTCTATTTTCGTGAAAAAATTCTACTCTATACTTAAAGCTTAAATTTTCATTGGGCACAGTGACCATTGCAGTTAAAGGCAAAGTAGAAAAAAAGGTAGAAATACACTATCTCAACAAAAAATAAGAGCATAGCATAAGTATCTAATGTTAGGCAGGTGAGAGGTATAGTACTTTTGTCCTCCAATGTAGGCCCTTGGCAAAAATATTTGAGACCCTGTCTGAAAATTGGGTAAAATAATAAAGATTTGGGATGTGGCATAAGTGGTAAACAGCAAGGTCTTTAGTTCACATCGCACTACTGATCTCTCTAGAAAAAAAAAATCCAAATTCCAAAATGACTTGAGCATACTCCTTTTATTTTGTGCTATATTAAATGCTGGTGGGAGAGGAATGAAGTAGGTTCTATACTTACTTATGCAACAATGAGTAACACTTTTCATGAACATGTAGTACAATGAATTCAAAGTCCTTCAAGGCCAACTAAATAACAAAGCCCAGAATCGCTTCATAACTCTGATGATGGTTTTTATATTTTATGATTTTGATTTTATTCGTCAGGAATATTTTATAGTGAATTCACTATTACATTTCAAAAGTTCTGAAATTCTCCTCCATAGAAACACATAGATACTTCCCCAGAATCCAACTGTTCCAACCAAATGCTAACTTTCAGGGATAAAATAATGATGGTTTTAAGAGCAAAATATACAACAACAAGTTTTACCTGTGGCTTGTGATTCACACCAAAATCACATCAAGTAGTATATTTAACTTTTACAGTAATACTCTATTATAATTAAAACTACTTCCTCTTAAATCAGATGCTCCCTTTCTCCACTCCTTTCCAATATAGTATTGGGATTCTCAGTTCCTGTCATGGGAAGAGACTAGGATGGGATACAGTTCATTCTCTCTCTCCCTCTCTTTCCCTCCCTCTCCCTCTCTTCTCCCTCTCTCCCTCTCTCCCTCTCTTCCCCTCTCTCCCTCTCTCCCTCGCTCTCGCTCTCTCTCTCTCCCATATATATATACAAATGTATATATATATATGTAGGAGAGAGAAAGTATATATATATATATATTTATATACATTCTAAAATGGACACGAATGACATAATGTGGATACTTTGGAGAGTAAAACTTATGCTATTTTTTATTTTTCCTTACTTTTTACTTTAGACTTGGAATATGTCCTCATATCCCAAATTCAGATTTAAGAGTCACAAATATTTTCAATTTCAGACTTGTGCTTGTTTTTGTTTCCTTATCACTTACTAATTATTTTAAAGTAAAGTATTTGTATTATTTCCCAGTATTATAATATAGAATTACAATATAAGCCACATTATGCTAATGTCCTAGGACTTTGAAAAGGCTGAATCCTTTCTGGAAATTTCTCATAAGAAATATGTATTTTCACTCTTTTATCTATTGAGGCCTCAATTTCTCTGGAGCTTATGACAGCCTTCTACCCTCTATACCCACAATGAAACACCACCTTTTCATAGCCACATCTTTTTCTCAGTAACATCCTCAACATTTCTCAACTTTTAAAGGTTGATGTGATTTATTGTGAACATGTGGGTAACCTGCCCTTCCCCAAAATACTTACAACAACTACACTTCTAATTTCTCTAAATAAGTAATGTATTATCAGCTCTAACATTTGGAAATAGCTTTTAGATCAGCCACAGACTCATGGCTCCCTGAAGTCTGAATTCCATGGTTCACTTTGAGTAACAAACATCCAGACCACAAAGATTCACTGGCAATGGCGGTTGATTCGTGAGGATGAATTATTGCAAGACTCTTTCTAGAAAATTTAAATAAAATTATTTTAAGTATCATCAAACTATTTTCTATATATTATAAAATACCTATTCAATTATTTTTATTATTTTGTTAGTTGTGGTTCTTTAACTCTGGGCCTGGGCCCTGTCCTTGAGCTCTTCAGCTCAAGGCAAGCACTCTATAATTTGAGCCACAGCACCACTTCCTACAATTACTTTAAAACCACACAGCTCTACAAGTAAGATGTGTCATTTATACTTTCTCATATTATTTTGTTTTCCTGTTAATCATTATAATGATACAGTTTCCACAGAAACTTCCACACAGAAGCTTTGATTTCCTTATTTCTAAGACTATATATTATAGGGTTTAAACATGGAGGCATCACAGAATAGAAAACAGATACCAAAATGTCCATAAGATCAGGAAAATCACCGACTGGTTTCAAATAAGCAATAGCACCTGTCACTAAAAATGTAATCACAAATATGAGATGAGGCATGCAAGTGGAGAAAGCTTTTGACTGCCCTTGTAAGGATGGCATTTTCAACACGGTATCGAAAATGTAAGCATATGAAATCCCTATGCACACCAAGCAGAAGAGTCCATATAAGACTCCAACAATAACACTAACATCAATGATGACATGCATCTTAGAACAGGAAATCTTCAATAGAGAGGGGACATCACAGAAAAACTGTGCAAGTTTTCTGGAACCACAGAAAGATAATGAGAAAATGCCAGCTGAGTATAAGACCCCAAAGATACTCCCAAAGATCCAAGAGACAGCTACCATTTGTACACAGACCCACATGTTTATGAAAACCTCATAATGCAATGGGTGAGAGATGGCCACATAGCGGTCATAGGACATAGCAGTTAGGATGAAAAGCTCACACCCAGCAAAGTGAACCACCAAGAAGAGCTGACACACACATCCCGCGAAAGATATGATGCTCCTATGGGTAAAAGAGTTCAGAATGAGCTTTGGGATGGTAACTGAAATGAGGCCCACATCAAGGGAAGACAAGTTCTTCAAGAAGAAGTACATGGGGGTGTGAAGACATGGATCCACTGTGACAAGGATGAAGATGAAGAGATTCCCCATTAGAGCCTCCAAGTAGATCAGCAGGAACAGAAAGCCATGGAAGACCTGGAGCTGCTTGTTGTCAGAGAATTGGGTGAGGAAGAAGTCCATCTGTGCTGTATGATTGGTCATGGTGTCTACTGCATTGACTTCCTGTGAAGCAGAGGAAGGAAGGACATATATATCAGGCTCATACTGAACCTTCTTCCTGTGCATTTTCAATCTGTAATCATCCTACTATATTTTATTTTTGAAATATACACAGATTTTACTCTCCTGGAGTCTTATACCTTGTTTATGATCTCAAATGCTATTTTCAGTGCATACTAGCATGTTGATGAGGCAGCATATAGAGAATATTTGAAGAAAAACTGTTTAAGACAAATGCACTAATGCAATTATAATGAATGTGTCTTTGAAAATTTATTCTAAATCATCAGCTGAATTTTTAAATAAAATAAGTGAATTCCTAAAGCAATTCAGAGGAAAAAGTAATCAGACGATAATTTACCCACTTTCTCAGAGAGAAGTATTTGTATTATTATTAAGTACATGGAACAAAAGCATAAAATTAAGTTTATTATTATTTGAAAAATATATTTGAGCTAATGGGAGTCTTCATGACCAAATGCTCAACATCTCTGTCCATGAAGGAAATGTAAATCAAAACAACATTGAGATTCCAAATCACTCCAATTTAGAATGGTCATTATCAAGAAAATAAATGATAATAGATGCTGGCAAAGATGCTGGCTGAAACAGAATTCTAATATATTGTTGGTAGGAATGTAAGCTTTTTCACCCACTCTGGAATACAGTGTAGAGGTTCCTCAAAAATTAAACAGTACTATCCTGTAATCTATCAGTTCCACTCTTGGGCACTTACTCAAAAGATTACAAACCAGGATATAGTAAAGCCACCAGCACAACCATGTTTATTGCAGCAATATTCACCATAACCATGGTATGGAATTGGCCCAGATGCCCCAAAGTGGATCAAGAAATTGTGTTATATATATACAATGCAATTTTATTCATCTATTAGAAAAAATGATATTGTAGCATTTCTAAAGAAATAGAATGACTTGCAAAATATTATGTCAGGCCCAGACATATATGTGGAAACTAGATTTACCTTAGAAACATATCCTGCCTTGTATGCAACTGTATAGAAATGTATTGAGAAATATTGTAGATTCAAGGGAGATCTCAAATAATGTAATTCCCTAGAAAGCCAAAATTAAAGTTCAGCAAAAAAAAAAAACAGCAGGGATTTGATTTTTCAAAGGGGAGAGTGTGGTAAAGTAGAAAGAGGTAGATGAATGAAGAGGAGAAGAGGGGGAAAATGCAGACAAGAATGCAATGTATATCCTAAAATAGTAAGAATAGTGAAGGTTACTCTACCTGATTTTTGTAACTGTAATACCTTTGTATATCACCTTTATAATAACAATAACATTTTAAAATAGAACAGTGAGGGAACTGGTGGTAGAGGCACAGATGAATGAGAATGTTGAAAGGGGTGACATTGATCAAGATATACTGTATTCATAAACTGCTTTGTTATATGGCAACTCCTTTGTACTATGTAAGGATAATAAGAAGAAATTAAAAGTAAATATTGTATCAAAACTAGTAAAAAAAACAACAGCTGTGCTTTGATTCTTATTAAGGAAAAATAAAAGTATATTTTGGGTGACATATTAAGAAACACATAAAATGTGTCTAAAATATCAGCAATGTCTAACCCATAGTTTGTGTGTTTACACCCCATATGAGCCTCTCTATTTCTTTCTCTCTCTCTTTCTCTCTCTCTCTCTTTTTCTCTTACATGCTCTCTCTTACACACACACACACACACACACACACACACACACACGAGCTCACTCGTACACTATATATATAGCATTAATCACATTGGTAGGGAACATATATTGCAAAAACTACATGCTAGTAAATGTAGCTACAATAAATACAGCATAGCACTATGTAAGCAGCACTATCAAGTAAATAGTCATATTTAAATATAAGGGAGCCAACACAGTTTGTATATAGAATATTTTAGATGGATGTTGCATTTTAAATTTAATTTAATTAGGAAGTAAGAACTTTTACAATGATGTCATAATAAAGTAAGTATTTAACTGTAGTCATATTATTTTCCTAAAGAAAATTAAAAGCACCAACTGAAGCTGGGCACTGCTGGCTCACACCTGTAGTTCTAGCTACTAAAGAAGCGAAGATTTAGAGCCATCCTAGGTAGGTGAGTCTGTGAGACTTTTATCTTCAATTAACCACTAAAAAGCTGGAAGTAGCTCAAATGGCACAGGGCTAGCCTTGAGCAGAAATCCTCAGGGATAGTGCCCAGATCCTGAGTTCAAGTCCCACACACACACAAAAAAAACAAAATAAGATATGAAAAACAGAGGGAGAGAGAGAGAGAGAGAGAGAGAGAGAGAGAGAGAGAGAGAGAGAGAAAGGAGAGAGAGAGCGCATCACTTATGTTTAGAGTTATGCACAGATATGAACGTTCATGATTAACTTTGTAACTTAGAACACAGTTTCTTGAAAGGCAACTGATAAAATCTCATCATTTAAGGAATGATGAAGTTAACTTTGGCCTGAGGAAAACATTTGAGAAGGAAAAAGTGAAGAGCTCCTGGTGTTATCAAGGCAGAGTGAGCAGGAGCTGTAGTGTGGTGGGGCTGGTCAATGAGGAGATGGCTGTGAGTCAGACTTTGACATTCAAGGAAGCTCTACATTGCTGCAGACACTGAAGTACGCTTTCATACACCTTTGTTTCATCCATACTTATGAGCTTACTTAGTTTTCTCTTCTGTATTCTTTCTCCTGGAAATTAATAGAATTGAAGACAATCTTTCTCTGAAACATCTTACTTACCTAATGCTTCCTCCAATGGCTTATGTGTTACAAATATTAAAAGAACTACAAGGAGTAAATACACATAAGAAATAAATTCACTACTGCTTCTAAAATTGCTTATGCCTTTTGCACAGAATATTTTTGATTCAAGTCAGTTCCTAATACAAGGTATTCACCTGAGTGGTTTTTAATATTTTCCTTCAATCAATTATAGACCCCCTCCCTTAGCTAAATTTTAATATTACTTCTTTATTAAACTAAAACCCTGTTTAGTAAACTTTAAATAAAATTCATCTTAACATACAAACAATGGATAGGATTATTATTCTGTATAAACTATTGAGTATTCAACTTAAATATATATTCTATGTAAGTTTTACTAAATGAATATTTAGTGAGATCTTTCTTTTTATTGTCTTAATCAGGATTACATTTAACTACATAGCAATATTAAAATAGTCCAAGAAGACAACTGCTTTCTGTCATTTTTTAATAATTTTCTATTGGTGAATGGATCAAATATAATGTTCATCTAGGCACAAATGCTAGTTATCCTGAATTTATCACTTCACCTTCTAGAAAATAAGTTGTCAATTAAATTTCATCACACTACACCTTCTGTATATGAATTAAAAGATATAAATAGTTTTAAATTGAATTTTAAATAAATTGTATCTGACCATAATTTAAATGAACATTTCAAATGAAATTTAAATTTTACAAATACTTCCTTGCTCTAAAGCTCTTCCTGAAAAGAAAGCACTGCTTTGCACATACTTGCTTATTTATACACCATGGAGCTCCCTCTAACAGGTTCTTCACTAGGATCTTATAAAGCCCCAATATTCAGAATTTCCTGAGTGGAATGAAAGTGCAAATGTTCTTTTTTATCTGGAGAGAGCTCTTCTGGTTAAGTTGTGAAGGAGAAAGACAAAGGCTTCTTCTTATCTGAAGTCCTCTTTATAGTGAGGTTTAAATAATTTTCACTACACTCTGCACCACCAGTTGGGGAAACAATGGACTGAGGACAAGTAGAGTTCTCATGGTGACCAAGAAGCAATCTTTCAGAGCCTCACCCATTAGGACATTTAGTGTGTGCAGCCTCACCCCACTCACACAGCTTTTCCCTTGTGTTTCTTCTGTGACTGTTCCTGCAGGGCTACTGCCTCTTCCTCAGGGAAATATCAGATGGTGCCCAGTATACTTTGGTATCTATTTCAATACAAGTGGTTCATTCTCATCTTGTAAATGGTATTAAAACCTGAAGTTTGAGCTCACTTGAGTTTTCTTGAGAGTAACAATAAGTTGAGCTAATGATTTTTGTCTTTTATCGTTTAGTTTTTATTAGAGTGCTGCTTCTGAAGTTGCAAAATTTTCATTGTGATTGAAAAACAGGATGTAACTTAGTGTGAAATTGTACAATTACAACATAGCCAACAGAGCACAAAAACTATACAAATTGTAATTTATGTTTTCCATGCGGTAACAACATGAAAATATAAATACATAAAATAGAACAATAAATATCTGAGCATAATAAGCATAAAATATTAATAAAATATAATGAGCATAAAATATGATGTAATGTAAAATAAATTTGTGATTTAGCTTAAAGAATGAATCCTTCAAACAAATACAAAATAGAAATGTTACACTGAATAGAAAATGATATTAAAATACTAAGAACTGAAGTATGTGTTTCAGAAGTCACATGACAAACTCTAATCAGTGTATGGATATATTAAGGGATAGGATCTTTACAGAAGTAATTAAGTGTAAACAAGGTTGTAAAAATGGGGGGAGTCACTAACCCAAAAGGATTTGAGTACTGTTGAGAAGACACAATTTTCTTCCTTTCTCATTTGAAGTGAGGACATATAGAGAAGGCAGCACTCAAGTGGAGATACTTGTGAACTAGTCCTGGAATTTCAATCTCTAGAACTGTGAGAAAACCATTTTTCCTACTTTTGCTGCTTGGTCAATGGTATTTAGTCATGTCAGATTGAGATGAGCCAAGCACAGAAGCAATTGCACAAAAAGTGCAAGAAGAAAGAAATTTTTATTGCAAAGAATCACGAAGGACTCTGGGGATAGTAGTCATAAAGGTGTCTCACTCCAGGCCTGGCAATAATTGCGTTCATGATAATGATTTAAAAATTGTATTTTTAAATAAAAATATAAGTAAGACAATGGAAACAGGCAGATTTCTTAACTTCAAGTGAGTTTTCGATTATAATAGTTTTTAGTCC